AGTACAATGGCAGTATAATGTATTAAATAAATAAACCCCCCAAGGTCAAAAGAGGTTGGTTGGTATTATATTGATGCATTTATCTACCAGTATGGGCAAGTTTCCGATAAAGTCAGAGGCAGGCTACTATTGTTGGTCCTAGTTTGTCTAACATCAAAGAAAAAGGGAAATAGTTGCTGTGAAAAATAGGTAATACTTTCTGTATTAATAGTACCGTCTTTTGCTCATGTTTGGGTTCCCTGTGTTGCCAAACTGAAATGTGGGACAATGTGAGATATATGGTAGCCTAATCTTTGGCTTCTTGTGATAATTTACATTATTTATAGTCATGAGGTGTTGTGCTTGTCTGCCTGCAGAGGGAGCCGTTCGCTCTAGTGGTTGCTTCACGCACTCTCAGTGTTGCCATGTTCGCGATTTTCTCACCAAATTGGGCTTTGAAAACGATGTCGCGGCTGAAAATGTATTGGTCGCGGGTTGCGGCATATATATATATATATATATATCACTGTGACCTGCTGCTGACTGTCAGGCAGTGAGGCAGGCTGTTGCTGAGTGAGTGGTGGGGAGAACCGGAGGAGTGTGTGTATGTGAGTTGAGCGAGAGGAGAGAGAGCAGCACGCGCGCACGTTGTGACAACTTTTTACCAGTTGTAGGTAGGCGATTTAGATTGTCGTTATGGAGACACCTATTTCCAAACCTTTTTCCATAAAACATATTACTACGTTAGAACTGATGCACATCAAGAAATAATGCAGACAAATCACTGGAAAACGACTTTGGGCGCACTAGAGCACATTACATAAATCTGCTCCGAGGTGGTTTAAACTGCATTCTAATGTTGACTGCTTAAAGAAAAAGGTATCAAGCGAAGTGCTTTATGCATGCTCAGTTCTTTGGTCTCGGGGACTGCCCGAGTGGAAATTTGAAAGGGAAATTATTAAACTCAATCACGTGGTTCTTTTTATGGGGAAAAGTCCTCAGTGAAACTGACATTAGGCTAAATGTGGGGAATTATACATTTGCCACTGTTGGCGATCAAGTAACCTATTAATGTATATGCCATTGTAGGCTACCATTTGATACAATAAATATGTTGAAATGACGATATCACTGGAGTCATTGCAAATCAATTTGTGCCACTTGTGTAGCCTACCTGGAGCTGGCAAACCAATTTAATAAATAGCCTATAACTTCAGTCTATTGTTGTTGTAGCCTTGTGTAATGAACGCATTAGATTGACTGTAACAGTAGTCAGATTAGGCTACAGGTAAAACAAATTCTAAAAAATAAACACTGGCTGTTGTTGACAAGCATATTCAGTTCATATACATATTATTAATATTGAATTCAGTGGTTGAAATTATGACCACATCCTCAGTAGCCTATTCCAGCAGACTACTGGGAAACACAATCACTTCTTATTGCGAAATCGCCTCGCTATTCATTAAGAAATGTGTCTGTTAATTTGAACTAAGCAAACTGCTAAATCGTTCAGTTTACATCTTGCCTAAATCTTGTCTAGGCTACTGTAAACTATATTAAATGAGATGTAGGCCTATCAGGGGCTATATGCTACGTTCCTCTATCTAAGCAAACTATGGCAACATTTAATTAGAATCATAAACCCACATTTTAGTCTGTAGCCTATGTCTATTGAAATGACAAGTCAATCTCGCAAATGGGCCATTTATAACGGTTTGTAGTCTTAACATCTGGCACATAATAACAGCACAATTGGCATAAAATAGCGTAACATTCGTGTTTTTATGTTCATCCAAATGTTTCTTGCTTTGAGATCCTCTGTTCAAATTTCATAATTCAAACTCTCCTGTCGGATTTATCTATAGTTATGCACATGCACAAAGGGGATTTATTTACAATGATAAACCTGTTTCGAGCCCTGAATGCTGATTGGCTGAAAGCTGTGGTATATCAGACCATATACCAGGTGTATGACAAAACGTTACTTTTTACTGTTCTAATTACGTTGGTAACCGGTTTATAATAGCAATAAGGCACCCTGGGGGTTTGTGGTATATGGCCAATATACCACGGCTAACGTGCTTAAGAACAGCCCATATCCATGGTATATTGGCCATATACCATACCCCCGTGTGCCTTATTGCTTAATCATAGCAGTCAAACGAGTTAAATCGACATCCATTGATGGAACTTTATCTGGCAAGTTTAATAAGGGCAAATTATATTTTCTCTTGCCACATATTCAAATTCCTTTATTATGTCATGTCATAGCTTGCAATAATTATTATTTTGAGGGAACCCGAATTTTACTTCTAACGTCGTTACACGTTACTATTATATTCCTTCTTAATTGGCTTGATAATGTAATGGGAAAGGGGTTTGTTGTACAGATATGGAAACTCCACTCTTGCTGTGAAAAAAACAATTGGGCTAGTTTTGAGGCCTTTTGGGTGGGTTTTGAGTGGTCGTTGTGCTAGAAATGTGAGCTTTCCTGGCAACCCTGCTCGGGCTAGCCGGCCTAGTCAGTTGAATGAGCGAGCAAAGCCAACTGAAATTGGAGAAGCGCCAGATAAACGACATATGTTAAACGTTATCATCACTGTGAGCGAGTAATAAAGCATAGGATATGAAACACCAGGTTAAGCGAAGTGTAATGATATAATTGTTATTTTTTAAATGATGTTATGATAGTTTAATTCATTTATAAATGTTCGTTAGCATATAAGCTAACTTCGGCTAACGTTAGCTCCAGTCAAGCGAACCTGCCTGGCGACAGGACCAACGTCGACGTTGTCAACGAACGTTCACACGGAGTGTAAACAAAGGGAAACGTTGTAACTTGCTGTTTTTAGGGATATGTTGAGAATGACATGATAAAAATGTATCAATGCGATAAGATAATATTTTTTTACAAATTGTTTTTTTTATTATGTTGGCTATTTAGAATTGTATAAGAGTAGCCAAGTCAGTTGAATGAGTGAGAGCCAACTGAAAACTGTATTAGAGAAGCGCCAGATAAACTAACTATTTTAAATCTTCAAGGTTTCAGACTCTCTTCATTCTTCCTACCATACCCTATCCAGGCTCCAAGGTTTAAGAGGGTACACTACACAACTATACTATGTGTGTTGTGGTTTTTCACTATGAGCTAAGGGGGTTTGTGTTGCATAATGTGAGTACCATAAATACTACGTTTTTGGTCACTTTACCCGAAAACCGGTGGGACACAGACCATCATAATACATTGTAAACAACTTCTATGCTTTCATGTTTCACTACAAGCTGCTAGTACAAAACCATGGCATTTTTTCATTGTATTACCATAGTTAATTTTGTACCATGTGTGGCGTACCGCGGACAAGCCACCAGGGGGAGACTCGTTGAGGCCTGGTGACAGAAGGAGTCTACATCACGCGGCGGTGGATCCCTCTGCTGGACGTGCCAGGTCTCGACGGGTCCTCCGGCCAGGACTAATTGGGGCTGATTGAGGCTGGTGCGTAATCAAGGGGCTGATTGCTCACCAGCCGTATGGGGCCCATAAAGCTGCCAGGAGGGCAGCACACGGGAGGGTTGGAGGTAGTGAGAGGTTGCTACTGGACAGACGTCCTCACAGTCTGATAGAACCGAGGGGCTCTGTGTTCTACCCCAGAGGAGACACCATTCCCCGGAGACCAGAAGGCGGCAACCCGGAAGAGGTCTCCTGGAGGAGATCGGTTTATTTTCTTTTTCTTTATTGTTTTAAATAAAACACCCTTGCAACTGAGGTATCACACGTGTCTGATCTGTGTAAATGTGTTGATCAAACCCCCTGGTCTGCCACACACGTGGTCAAAAGTATGTGGACACCTGCTCGTCGAACATTAATACGGAGTTGGTCCCCCTTTGCTGCTATAACAGCCTCCGCTCTTCTGGGCAGGCTTTCCACTAGATGTTAGAACATTGCTGCGGGGACTTGCTTCCATTCAGCCACGAGCATTAGTGAGGTTGGGTGATTAGGCCTGGCTCACAGTCGGCGTTCCAATTCATCCCAAAGGTGTTCGATGGGGTTGAGGTCAGGACTCTGCAGGCCAGTGAAGTTCTTCCACACCGATCTCGACAAACCATTTCTGTATGGACCTCGCTTTGTACACGGGGCCATTGTCATACTGAAACAGGAAAGGGCCTTCCCCGAACTTGCCAAAAAATTGGAAGCACAGAATCGTCATATCATTGTATGCAGTAGTGTTGATTTCCCTTCACTGGAACTAAGGGGTCTAGCCTGAACCATGAAAAACAGCTTCAGACTATTATTCCTTCTCCACTAAACTTTACAGTTGGCACTACACATTGGGGCAGGTAGCGTTCCCCTGGCATCCACCAAACCCAGATTTATCCGTCGGACTACCAGATTGGAACTCGGTAGAGCGTGTTGCAACTGAGGACAGATTTTTACGCGCTACACGCTTCAGCACTCTGCGTTCCTGTTCTGTGAGCTTGTGTGGCCTACCACTTCGTGGCTGAGCCGTTGTTGCCCCTAGATGTTTCCACTTCACAATAACATCACTTACAGTTGACCGGGGCAGCTCTAGCACGGCAGAAATGTCACATACTGACTGGTTGGAAAGGTGACATCCTATGATGGTGCCACGTTGAAAGTCACTGAGCTCTTCAGTAAGGCCATTCTACTGCCAATGTTTGTCTATGGAGATTGCATGGCGGTGTGCTCGTTTTTATCCACCTGTCAGCAACAGGTGTGGCTGAAATAGCCGAATCTACTAATTTGAAGCGGTGTCCACATACTTTTGTATATATAGTGTACCATGGTACTGGTGCAAATATGGTAGTACAAAAACAAACAAAAAACATGGTATTTTCCTGCCTAGGATAGTGACCGTAAGGGGTAATAATCAGCTGCCTGCCTGATGACCACCGCGGCAACTAGTGACGACCGATGACACCGGGAAGAACGTTTTATTTAATCAAACTTTGAAATTAGTTTTTACTTCACAATACTGTAAAAAAAAAATAACAATTAAGAATGTTGGTATGAGCGGATGCAAAAATGTATAGGAATTCATATTAAGGAATATTAGGCCAGGTTTATTAACAAATTCTGTATTTAAAAGTATCAAAAACATGCATGTACAAATGGTGAGATGGCTACAATTTGTTTAAAAAAATGTCACATTATCTTTTGTGATCATAAACCCAGAGCCATATGCTGGATTCATGACGGAAACTCTGAACCTCAGAGTAAAAATGTACCTAAGTTATTTGTGTAGAGCTTCCCATTGGTTGATTCTGATACGGTCCCGAGTGGGAAACTCGGGTATCATCGTTTCCAAGTCAAACATTTCTGAGTTTCCTAGTTCCGACATGTCATGAATGCAGCATTAGCTCTTCCTAAACCATGGGTGGCCAAATCTGTTGTAGTGGTGTGGTGCGGTGCAGGCTTTTGTTCCTTTTTTACTTTAATTACTTCAATCAGGTGTGTTACTGCTTGCCTGAAACAAAAACCTGCACCCACTCAAGCCCCCTGTGTATTAGAGTGACCATCCCCGGCCTAAACCAATATTTCCGCTTGACATAACCTGCGGTTTACCAAGGAGGGTGATCATACATTAATACCTGACCAAAAGAAACCCTTGGTAATCTTTAAATAAAACTTTCCAATTACACATTTCCATGTACAGTATTAATTTGCATGTCACGTTGAGGCCTTGAGTTTCTTCTTCTTTGACTTCACCACCTGGGGCAATGGAATTTTGAAGGCAGTCCTACAAGGAAAAGGCATTTAAAGACGACTAAACACATTTGCACAAAAACAATTACCACCTGTTTCTACTTCCCCTAAAATATATTACAACAAGAGTAAAGGTCTGTAGTACTCACTCGCACGTTGTGCAGATCGGACTGAAGTTGCAGAATACTTCAAGAGAATAGGGTTTGTTCATTAGGACTTCAATCAATAATACAACTGCAAATGTTCATGACTTTTATACAATGAGAAAACAAAATATAACTCACTTGACAAACACACTGAGCAGACATAACCAATCTCAATGAGGTTTCTGTGGCAAAAGCATGCTGCTCTGTAATCCACATGGACAGGAGGTGGCAGCACCAGTTGGGAGCGTTGGTCAGAGTCTGGCAGGAATACCCACTACAGGTAAAAGAGAATGTAACCAATATCACACAACACATATAAGAGATAAAAGCTAATCAATCTTTATCTCATATCATTTTAATCCTCACCAGAAGATATTGTGCCAAGGCACTCTTCTGTGGTATCTTCAAGTACAATCCTCCAGTTATGTCACAGGCCTGTTAAGACAAATACAATAGAAAATGGTGAACCTTCTGAAAATGTTTGTGCACATCTATATGATAAAGCAATCAAAACTTGCCTGTTGGAGGAGACCTGAGTCCGAGTCCAACACACAGGCGTCTATTAGGATGTTCTGTAACAAGACAAAAGAGAGGCACAGTTTCTTTATTAAACATATGCTAAAGGAAGCGAAAGCTGAGAAGAAAGTAATTTTACCTGCTTCTGTGCGGCGAAGATCACATTCATGAAGTTCATGTATTGCAAGGCACAGTCTTCTGCTGCTTTAATGACCTATTCCGCAAAGACACAAAACAAACATTCAAACCACATTCATCAAAAGAGTAGGCTACCCTTGTGAAACTGACTCAAGTGAGGTCTTACCAATATCCTCGACTTCATTTCTTGTCCGGCTGAAAAAAAGCAGGGAAACATATGACTGAAAACCATGACTGGTATAATGACCATTACAAAATTGTCAGATTAAATCTGATGGAATTTATAAATACTTTATTAGTCTAGTAACTGAAATGCTCGGAATACCTTCCAGCTCCTTTGCGACTCTATGGATATCTGAATATTGAAAGTAAAAGAAACATACAAGCAAGCATCCAGTTCAAATTTGATGTGGTGGATTTTATTTATAATTTACAAATCGACAAAACACCAATGAAAACCAGCCATTTAAAAATAATTCAGAGTGGCTGCGCATCAAAGTTCTCTGGAACCTTCTTCCCGACAACTAAAGGTCCGAAGCTTCTATGCATGTGCGTGATTCTCTACTTCACGCAGTTTCTGCTCTACTCATTCGGCATCCCAGAGAACAGGCTACTCTTGCAAATGGTTCTTGTTTAATAAAGTTGGAATAAAGCTGATTCAATGTCTGCAAGATCACATAATGATAGTATTCTACACAACAGAACCGAATATAATAGCATAGCATAACTTTACTGTAAGACAAAAAAACACCACATTTATTTTAGGATGATTGTGCGAATGGTCGTATTGAATAAATGTTTTATGTGTGAAACGTCAATCAGTTTCATGGGGATATATATTTAGATGTTCTTGAGTTATTAACAGTGCTGTTTTGAATTATGTATGAAGACTAAATGTAGAACAGATGGTGTTAACAAACTGTAGAATTCCTGTGTTTAGTTTCAATCAAAGCACATATTTGGCCTAGTGGCACGCTGTTGGGTTTTGGCCGCATGAGAGAAAAATGCAACCAGTCGCACAATCATCCTTTTTTTTTACCGTAATGTTATACTATGCTATTATATTTGGTTCTGTTATGTTGAATACTATCATTATGTGATCTTCCAGACATTGATTCTGCTTTAATCTAACTTTATTAAATGAGCACCATTCGCAAGAGTAGCCTGTACTCTGGGCAGCCGAACGAGTAGAGCAGAGACTGTGTGTAAAGAAGAGAATCCCGCACATGCGCAGAAGCTTTGGACCTTTAGCTGTCAGGAAGAGGGTTCCAGAGAACTCTGATGAGCAGCCTTGGCCAAAATAATTTCAGGGAAATTGATTAATATCTTCTATAAGATGGTGATGATGCTGTTGTTCTAATGTAAATGCATTGTAATGACTAAGCATTTTCATGGAAAGGATACAGCAGAGAGCTTTAGCAAGTGATCCCGCCAATAGTGTGTCTGTCTGGTTTCCCTTCACTTCAGCTGAAAAACATAACAAAAGTGAGGATATTATAAGAGTGCACAAAGGGAGTTGACAACAAACATGGCTAACTATGTTCTTTTTTGGCAATGCACAGGGAGATTATTCTGCACTTACTTCTTGACATGAGATTCTTGATCTCTTCTGCAATGAGCTCATTGGCAACTGACAATAGCTCATACTTGCCATCCCCACTTGTTGATGCATTGTCGTCCCCATGACCATCTCCAGATTTCCAGAGCTTACAAGGATACAGAAAATGACTGCAGCATATGACGACAAGGGAGGAAGAGAGAGATTTGTAATTAGATTAGAACATAAAATCACCAGACAGAAACCAGCAATTAGAAGTATTCTGTGTATCTACTAACAAGTGACACGTTTGATTACCTTTCCTGACAATGGCTGGCAATTATGGCCAGCTTGTTGGTCCTAGTCATGACCAGGTGGGAGTTACCCATCACCATGACTGCATCCAGACACTTGGACAGGGTGAACTAAGGGAGGAGAAACATAATCATGCATATCTCAGTCTACTTCAAAGAAGAAGTTAGAGGCTAGCTCTGTAGACAATTGCACAAAGAATAATTGTTAAATACCTGAGGTTCTCGATTAGCTTGCTGGCCCCACCATATGGGATTGACATCCACAACAATGACCAGAAGACTGACTTCATCCTCTGCAGACAAACACATAAGTTCGCTTAACAGCTAGGACAGGTGGCTATTGTTGTTATGACAATAACTAACTGTTATGCCTTTTCTCATGCATTCATTTTATATCAGTGATTAGTAGTAGGCCAACATTACTAATTGCTAGCTAGCTAGCAATTAGCACAAACTAGCCAACATTAGCTAGCTAGCCAGCTATTTCATTCCTTCATAAAACTCATTCAATGCCAGCAAGCTTGTAAGCCAATGTTTTCACTAGATAAATGCTACACTTCCAATATTTAAAAATATAAATTATTGTTTGAAATTATAATGTATTACGGTTAAATCTCTATTATGGTGAATTCACTTACCCGACGCCATCACCAAAAGTTAACATTGCTAACTCCTCCAGCGTGCCCAAACTAAAGCCCCGCCCATTTCTCCCTAAAACAACAATGAGAATTGAGTTAAACGTCATCAAATTGCGACATCTGATATTTATGCCGCGTTTAAAATACCTGGGAACTCGGAAATCTCCGACTTCCGAGCGTTCAAGGCTATTGGGAACTCGGGAAAAAACGAGCTCCGACTGGGAGAAAGGCCCGTGCTATACGGGGTCCTTGGGACGTCTCTACCCCTTTGCAGTTTATATTTAAAATGGTTAGGGCAGGGTTTCCTAAACTCGGGACTCGGGTGCCCGTTTTGGGGTTTGTCCTAGCACTACACAGCTGATTCAAATAATAAACTAATCATCAAGCCTTGATCATTTGAATCAGGTGTGTAGTGTTTATTTCCGAATTCCCAGTTGTCGGAGATTTATGATTTCACAGTTGATTTGAACGTGGAATCCATCCCAAAAATTAGCAAACGTTTACCTTAAACTCAGTATAAGTGTGACAGAATTGGCTAATAAATGTATTTCATTTGACGCAAATCAAGGATGATCTTTTCTCAGTCCAAAACGTAATAAGCAACTCTTGAAAGAGCGTAATTCACGTCAGAGGAAAAACGTGGCTGTTTCATCAGCTCGAGCAAGTACATGACTAGTAGCTCGCTAACGTTAGATAGCTAGAGAACGAAGAACATCTGGCACATACTAGGTTAGCTGGCTAGAAAGTTTATACTACTAATATTTAGGTATCATCTGTCCCGCTTCCTGCTTTTGTTGAGGTGTGGACGAAGATGGTGAGTTGAAGTGTCATTGAAGAACTTGATGAGTAGACATGCTTCCCATATGGTCCCCCATAGCCATATATACATGGACTTGCCTGCAGTTGATTTCATGGGGGTTGTTTCCGTGCATGCACAAAACACTATCCATACAACTCTAAATAGAGGATAAGCTTAGTGAGAGTGTAATCAAGTACATTTGCACTTCTATATGGATCATCTTTCCATATGACTGACTTGCCCATGGCCATCTCCTTTCAGAGCTGGTGGAGTACTTCAGGACACAAATGAGACAGGGCCCTGAGGTACCCTCTGCTGTGGCAGCAATCCGCACTCTCCTGGAATTCCTCAAAAGAGACCAAAGTCAGATTTACCTTCAGACAAAACCTTACTTTTCTACTCTCCTTCACTTATTATACTGATGTGTAGTGAATCAAGAGGAACATATTTTGTCTGATGGTTATTAGCAAATAGACAAGTTGTGGTATTGATTGGCTGGATGCTTTATGTCCCTGAGCAGGTGAGACCATCCTGGGCCTGAGAGAGAACCTGACCCAGACCATCGGGTGTCTGGAGGAGGCTGACTCCTCTGTGGCTGTCTCGTCTGGTGGCAAACTGTTCCTCCGCTTCATCAGCCTCACATCACTGGAGCACCCTGTGAGTAGAGGGCCTTCACCTATCCCTCTCGCTGCAACATCTAGGCTACTCTTATACACTCTGAGCCCACTTTACTGTGATTTTACATGTATTCAATAGTGAGTGTACCTCGAGTTGTCCAACGTACCAAACGTACCATCGTGATTTGAGATGTCATTATCAGAAATGTGTTTTATTTGTCCCCCGAACAGGATCTCTCTCAATGCAAGAAAGTGATGGTAGAGAGAGGAGAGCTCTTTCTAAAGAAAATATCCCTTTTCAGGAGTAAAGTAGCGAAACTATGCCATACCTTTATCAAGGATGGAGCTGTAAGTATTTCTATAGAATTTTGTTTTTTGAATGACGTCTCAAACCCGCTCCACTCATGGTGATTCTGCCTCTGACAAACACTGTGTTCTCTATTGTCATTCACAGAAAATACTGACACACTCCTCCTCCCGGGTGGTTCTTAGGGTAGCAGCCGACAAGAAACGCTTAATTGTCTAAGTCACTGAGTCACAACCAGACACTGCAGGGTGTGTGCTCAACACAAACACATGCATATGTATTATGCTAAACTAAGCAAACCCTAGAGAGGAACTTGAAAAAATATTCACAAGTATACTTTTGTCTCTTTCCAGACAAAAAATGGCAGACAAATTACAGAAACTAAACATTCCGGTCACAGTGGTTCTTGATGCTGCAGTGGGGTAAATATCAAAATCATTTAAGTTGAGTCATGAAATTATATAAATAAAACCGATTGAGATCTCAGCTCAATCATACTATTCTTTTTTGAAGGACCGTAAAAGTACTGTTTTAACAACGCCCACCTTTGATTTATACAGGTAGCCTATATGAAGGAAGCAGTCAGTGAAATCCATGTCTCTTATTACAGTACTGAAAATAGAATGTGTTTTATTAAAGGTATATCATGGAAAAGGTGGATCTGGTGATTGTTGGTGCAGAGGGAGTGGTGGAAAGTGGTGGCATTATCAACAATGTACTGTATATATTCTGAATTGGATAACACACCAATCAGACACATTCTGGACAGTCTTATGTTTATGTCCTTGGATGACGTTACCATTTACAACACATCATGGGTTACCCTATGTTTTGCAACCCACTTGACAGATTGGCACCTATCAACTGGCTGTGTGCTCCAAGGCTCACAACAAGCCTTTCTACGTGTGGCAGAAAGCTTCAAATTTGTCAGACTCTACCCTCTATACCAGCAAGATGTCCCAGACCGATTTAAGGTAATTGCACTAAAATATGGTTATTAATATTCATCTTTAATTTACAATTTGTAGAAACTGAGAATAGAAAGGTTCAGAACTTTTGTGAAACATTACAGCACAGTTAAAGTATATGGCAATTAGAAAATCAAAACTGGATGATTTTCAGAGATAGATGGGAGGGTTTGAGGGTAACTGAAGTGTGGGACTAAACAAATAAACACAAATTAAAAAAGATAACTAAATGTAGAATATACAGTTTCTGTAAAATGTATAGTATGTATACTGAACAAAAATATAAACGCAACAATTAACGATTTTAGTGAGTTACAGTTCATATAAGGAAATCAGTCAATTGAAATAAATTCATTAGGCCCTAATCTATGGATTTCACATGAATGGGCAGGGGTGCAGCCATGGGTGGGCCTGGGAGGGCATAGGCCCACCCACTGGGGAGCCAGGCCCACCCAGTCAGAATGACTTTTTCCCCACAAAAGGGCTTTATTACAGACAGAACTACTCCTCAGTTTCATCAGCTGTCCGGGTGGCTGGTCTCGGACGATCCCGCAGGTGAAGAAGCCGGATGTGGAGGTCCTGGGCTGGTGTGGTTACGCGTGGTCTGCGGTTGTGAGGCCGGTTGGACATACTGCCAAAATCTCTAAAACGACAGAGGCGGCTTATAGTAGAGAAATTAACATTACATTTGCTGCCAACAGCTCTGGTGGACATTCCTGCAGTCTGCATGCAAATTGCACGCTCCCTCAAAACTTGAGACTAGTGGCATTGTGTTGTGTGAGAACTGCACATTTTAGTGGCCTTTTATTGTCCCCAGCACAAGAAGGCACTTGTGTAATAATCATGCTGTTTAATCAGCTTTTTGATATGCCATATCTGTCAGGTGAATGTATTATAAAGGCTCACCAACAGGGATGTAAACAAATGTGCACACATTTGAGAAATAAGTTTTTTGTGCATATGGAACATTTCTGGGATCTTTTATTTCAGCTCAAGAAACATGGGACCAACACTTAACATGTTGCGTTTATTTTTGTTCAGTATATAAGCTGTAAGTAGAAGCTAAGTATTGTTGTCCATTATTTTACTCCAATTAGGGGAGGAGTGGGAGGATTAGGGTAAAATAAATGAAACACATTTTATATACAGTTGAAGTCTGAAGTTTACATACACCTTAGCCAAATACACTGCTCAAAAAAATAAAGGGAACACTAAAATAACACATCCTAGATCTGAATGAATGAAATAATCTTATTAAATACTTTTTTCTTTACATATTTGAATGTGCTGACAACAAAATCACACAAAAATTATCAATGGAAATCAAATTTATCAACCCATGGAGGTCTGGATTTGGAGTCACCCTCAAAATTAAAGTGGAAAACCACACTACAGGCTGATCCAACTTTGATGTAATGTCCTTAAAACAAGTCAAAATGAGGCTCAGTAGTGTGTGTGGCCTCCACGTGCCTGTATGACCTCCCTACAATGCCTGGGCATGCTCCTGATGAGGTGGCGGATGGTCTCCTGAGGGATCTCCTCCCAGACCTGGACTAAAGCATCCGCCAACTCCTGGACAGTCTGTGGTGCAACGAGGCGTTGGTGGATGGAGCGAGACATGATGTCCCAGATGTGCTCAATTGGATTCAGGTCTGGGGAACGGGCGGTCCATAGCATCAATGCCTTCCTCTTGCAGGAACTGCTGACACACTCCAGCCACATGAGGTCTAGCATTGTCTTGCATTAGGAGGAACCCAGGGCCAACCGCACCAGCATATGGTCTCACAAGGGGTCTGAGGATCTCATCTCGGTACTTAATGGCAGTCAGGCTACCTCTGGCGAGCACATGGAGGGCTGTGCGGCCCCCCAAAGAAATGCCACCCCACACCATGACTGACCCACCGCCAAACCGGTCATGCTGGAGGATGTTGCAGGCAGCAGAACGTTCTACATGGCGTCTCCAGACTCTGTCACGTCTGTCACATGTGCTCAGTGTGAACCTGCTTTCATCTGTGAAGAGCACAGGGCGCCAGTGGCGAATTTGCCAATCTTGGTGTTCTCTGGCAAATGCCAAACGTCCTGCACGGTGTTGGGCTGTAAGCACAACCCCCACCTGTGGACGTCGGGCCCTCATACCACCCTCATGGAGTCTGTTTCTGACCGTTTGAGCAGACACATGCACATTTGTGGCCTGCTGGAGGTCATTTTGCAGGGCTCTGGCAGTGCTCCTCCTGCTCCTCCTTGCACAAAGGCGGAGGTAGCAGTCCTGCTGCTGGGCTGTTGCCCTCCTACGGCCTCCTCCACGTCTCCTGATGTACTGGCCTGTCTCCTGGTAGCGCCTCCATGCTCTGGACACTACGCTGACAGACACAGCAAACCTTCTTGCCACAGCTTGCATTGATGTGCCATCCTGGATGAGCTGCACTACCTGAGCCACTTGTGTGGGTTGTAGACTCCGTCTCATGCTACCACTAGAGTGAAAGCACCGCCAGCATTCAAAAGTGACAAAAACATCAGCCAGGAAGCATAGGAACTGAGAAGTGGTCTGTGGTCACCACCAGCAAAACCAGTCCTTTGTTGGGGGTGTCTTGCTAATTGCCAATATTGTCAATCAGTGTTGCTTCCTAAGTGGACAGTTTGATTTCACAGAAGTGTGATTGACTTGGAGTTACATTGTGTTGTTTAAGTGTTCCCTTTATTTTTTTGAGCAGTGTATATTTAAACTCAGTTTTTCACAATTCCTGACATTTAATCATAGTAAAAATTCCCTGTCTTAGGTCAGTTAGGATCACCACTTTTATTTTAAGAATGTGAAATGTCAGAATAATAGTAGAGTGATTTATTTCAGCTTTTATTTATTTCATCACATTCCCAGTGGGTCAGAAGTTTACATACACTCAATTAGTATTTAGTAGCATTGCTTTTTAAAAATGGTTTAACTTGGGTCAAACGTTTCGGGTAGCCTTCCACAAGCTTCCCACAATAAGTTGGGTGAATTTTAGGCCATTCCTCCTGACAGAGCTGGTGTAACTGAGTCAGGTTTGTAGGCCTCCTTGCTCGCACACGCCTTTTCAGTTCTGCCCACACATTTTCTATAGGATTGAGGTCTGGGCTTTGATGGCCACTCCAATACCTTGACTTTGTTATCCTTAAGCCATTTTGCCACAACTTTGGAAGTATGCTTGGGGTCATTGTCCTTTTGGAAGACCCATTTGTGACCAAGCTTTAACTTCCTGACTGATGTCTTGAGAAGTTACTTAAATATATCCAGATAATTTTCCTTCCTCATGATGCCATCTATTTTGTGAAGTGCACCAGTCCCTCCTGCAGCAAAGCACCCCCACAGCATGATGCTGCCACACCCATTCTTCATGGTTGGGATGGTGTTCTTTGGCTTGCAAACATCTCCCTTTTTCAACCAAACATAACGATGTTCATTATGGCCAAACAGTTCCATTTTTGTTTAATCAGACCAGAGGACATTTCTCCAAAAAGTACGATCTTTGTCCCCATGTGCAGTTGCAAACCATAGTCTGGCTTTTTTTATGGCGGTTTTGGAGCAGTGGGTTCTTCCTTGCTGAGCGGCCTTTCAGGTTATGTCGATATAGGACTCGTTTTACTGTGGATATAGATACTTTTGTACCTGTTTCCTCCAGCATCTTCACAAGGTCCTTTGCTGTTGTTCTGGGATTGATTTGCACTTTTCGCACCAAAGTACATTCATCTCTAGGAGACAGAACGCGTCTCCTTCCTGAGCGGTATGACGGCTGCGTGGTCCCATGGTGTTTATACTTGCGTACTATTGTTTGTACAGATGAACGTGGTACCTTCAGGCGTTTGGAAATTGCTGCCAAGGATGAACAAGACTTGTGGAGGTCTACCATTTATCTTTTCTGAGGTCTTGGCTGATTTCTTTTGATTTTCCCATGATGTCAAGCAAATAGGCACTGAGTTTGAAGGTAGGCCTTGAAATACCTCCAATTGACTCAAATTATGTCAATTAGCCTATCAGAAGCTTCTAAAGCCATTACATCATTTTCTGTAATTTTCCAAGCTGTTTAAAGGCACAGTCAACTTAGTGTATGTAAACTTCTGACCCACTGGAATTGTGATACAGTGAATAAGTGAAATAATCTGTCTGTAAACAATTGTTGGAAAAATTACTTGTGTCATGCACAAAGTAGATGTCCTAACCAACTTGCCAAAACAATAGTTTGTTAACAAGAAATTTGTGGAGTGGTTGAAAAAAACGAGTTTTAATGACTCCAACCTAAGAGTATGTAAACTTCCGACTTCAACTGTATACACTACCGTTCAAAAGTTTGGGGTCACTTAGAAATGTCGTTGTTTTTGAAAGAAACTTTTTTTTTTGTCCATTAAAATAACATCAAATTGATCAGAAATACAGTGTAGACATTGTTAATGTTGTAAATTGCTATTGTAGCTGGAAACTGTTGATTTTTAATGGAATATCTACATAGGCGTACAGAGGCCCATTATCAGCAACCATCAGTCCTGTGTTCCAATAGCACGTTGCGTTTGCTAATCCAAGTTTATAATTTTAAAAGGCTAATTGTTCATTAGAAAACCCTTTTGGAATTATGTTAGCACAGCTGAAAACTGTTGTGCTAATTAAAGAAGCAATAAAACTGGCCTTCTTGAGACTAGTTGAGTATCTGGAGCATCAGCAATTTTGGGTTAGATTACAGGCTCAAAATGGCCAGAAACAAAACTTTCTTCTGAAACTCGTCAGTCTATTCTTGTTCTGAGGAATGAAGGCTATTCCAGGCGAGAAATTGCCAAGAAACTCTAGATCTCGTACAACGCTGTGTCCTTCACGGCGTAGTGTGTTACCAATTGTTTTCTTGGTGACTATGGTCCCATCTGCCTTGAGATCATTGACAAGATCCTCCCGTGTAGTTCTGGGCTGATTCCTCACCGTTCTCATGATCATTGCAACTCCACGAGGTGAGATCTTGCATGGAGCCCCAGGCCGAGGGAGATTGACAGCTCTTTTGTGTTTCTTCCATTTGTGAATAATCGCACCAACTGTTGTCACCTTCTCACCAAGCTGCTTGGCGATGGTTTTGTAGCCCATTCCAGCCTTGTGTAGGTCTACAATCTTGTCCCTGACATCCTTGGAGAGCTCTTTGGTCTTGGCCATGGTGGAGAGTTTGGAATCTGATTGATTGATTGCTTCTGTGGACAGGTGTCTTTTATACAGGTAACAAGCTGAGATTCTGATTGAGAGGGGGTCAAATACTTATTTCCCTCATTAAAATGCAAATCAATTTATAACATTTTTAACATGCGTTTTTCTGGATTTTGTTGTTAGTCTGTCTCTCACTGTTCAAATAAACCTACCATTAAAATGATAGACTGATCATTTCTTTGTCAGTGGGCAAACGTACAAAATCAGCAGGGGATCAAATACTTTTTTCCCTCACTGTATGTATGTATGTATGTATACATACATATATATATATTATCTGTCAAAAGTTTATACACCTACTCATTCAAGGGTTTTTCTTTATTTTTACATTGTAGAATAATAGTGAAGACATCAAAACTATGAAATAACATGGAATCATGTAGTAACCAAACAAGTGTTAAACAAATCAAAATATATTTCATATTTGAGATTCTTCAAATAGCCACCCTTTGCCTTGATGCACACTCTTGGCATTCTCTCAACCAGCTTCATGAGGTAGCCACCTGGAATGCATTTAAATTAACTGGTGTGCCTTCTTAAAAGTATAATTTGTGGAATTTCTTTCCTTAATGCGTTTGAGCCAATCAGTTGGGTTGTGACAAGGGAGTGGGGGTATACAGAAGATAGCCCTATTTGGTAAAAGACCAAGTCCATATTATGGCAAGAACAGCTCTAATAAGCAAAGAGAAATGACAGTCCATCATTACTTTACTTTAAGACATGAAGGTCAGTCAATAAGGAACATTTCAAGAACTTTTCAAGTTTCTTCAAGTGCAGTCGCAAAAACCATCAAGCGCTATGATGAAACTGGCTCTCATGAGTACCACCACAGGAATGGAAGACCCAGAGTTACCTCTGCTGCAGAGGATAAGTTCATTAGAGTTACCAGCCTCAGAAATTGCAGCCCAAATAAATGCTTCAGAGTTCAAGTCATAGACACATCTCAACATCAGCTGTTCAGAAGGGACTGTGTGAAACAGGCCTTAATGGTCGAATTGCTGCAAATAAACCACTACTAAAGGACACCAATAAGAAGAGGAGACCTGCTTGGGCCAAGAAACACGAGCAATGGACATTAGGTGGAAATGTGTCCTTTGGTCTGGAGTCCAAATTTGAGATTTTTTGTTCCAACTGCCGTGTCTTTGTGAGACGCGGTGTGGGTGAACGGATGATCTCCTCATGTGTAGTTCCCACACTTAACCAGCATGGCTACCACAGCTTTCTGCAGCGATACGCCATCCCATCTGGTTTGGTCTTAGTGGGGCTATCATTTGTTTTCAACAGGACAAATCACCCAACACACCTCCAGGCTGTGTAAGGGCTATTTTACCAAGAAGGAGAGTGATGGAGTGCTGCATCATATGACCTGGCCTCCACAATCCCCCGACCTCAACCCAATTGGGATGGTTTGGGATGAGTCGGATGGCAGAGTGAAGGAAAAGCAGCCGACAAGTGCTCAGCATATGTGGGAACTCCTTCAAGACTGTTGGAAAAGCATTCCAGGTGAAGCTGGTTGAGAGAATACCAAGAGTGTGCATAACTCATCAAGGCAAAGGGTGGCTATTTTGAAGAATCTCAAATCTCAAATATATTTTGATTTGTTTAAAACTTTTTTGGTTACTAAATGATTCCATAAGTGTACAATGTAGAAAATAGTAAAAATAAAAACCCCTTGAATGAGTAGGTGTCCAAACTTTCGACTGGTACAGTATATATGAAACTCAGCAAAAAAAGAAACGTCCGCACTTTCAACTGCGTTTATTTTCAGCAAACTTAATGTGTAAATATTTGTATGAACATAAGATTCAACAACTGAGACAAACTGAAGAAGTTCCACAGACATGTGACGAACAGAAATTGAATAATGTGTCCCTGAGCAAAGGGGGCGTCAAAATCAAAAGTAACAGTCAGTATCTGGTGTGGCCACCAGCTGCATTAAGTACTGCAGTGCATCTCCTCCTCATGGACTGCACCAGATTTGCCAGTTCTTGCTGTGAGATGTTACCCCACTCTTCCACCAAGTATGGCTGGTGGCATTGTCATGCTAGAGGGTCATGTCAGGATGAACCTGCAGGAAGGGTACCACATGAGGGAGAAGGATGTCTTCCCTGTAACGCACAGCGTTGAGATTGCCTGCAATGATGACAAGCTCAGTCCGATGATGCTGTGACACACCGCCCCAGACCATGACGGACCCTCAACCTCCAAATCGATCCCGCTTCAGAGTACAGGCCTTGGTGTAACGCTCATTCCTTCGACGATAAACGCGAATCTGACCATCACTCCTGGTGAGACAAAAACGTGACTCGTCAGTGAAGAACACTTTTTGCCAGTCCTGTCTGTTCCAGAAACGGTGGTTTTATGCCCATAGGCGACGTTGTTGCCGGTGATGTCTGGTGAGGACCTGCCTTACAACAGGCCTACAAGTCCTCAGTCCAGCCTCTCTCAGCCTATTGCGGACAGTCCGAGCACTGATGGAGGGATTGTGCGTTCCTGGTGTAACTCAGGAAGTTGTTGTTGCCATCCTGTACCTGTCCCGCAGGTGTGATGTTCGGTTGTACCGATCCTGTGCAGGTGTTGTTACACGTGGTCTGCCACTGCGAGGACGATCAGCTGTCAGTCCCGTCTCCCTGTAGCGCTGTCTTAGGCGTCTCACAGTACGGACATTGCAATTTATTGTCCTGGCCACAGCTGCAGTCCTCATGCTTCCTTGCTGCATGCCTAAGGCACGTTCACGCAGATGAGCAGGGACCCTGGGCATCTTTATTTTGATGTTTTTCAAAGTCAGTAGAAAGGCCTCTTTAGTGTCCTAAGTTTTCATAACTGTGACCTTAATTGCCTACAGTCTGTAAGCTGTTAGTGTCTTAACAACCGTTCCACAGGTGCATGTTCATTAATTGTTTATGGTTCATTGAACAAGCATGGGAAACAGTGTTTAAACCCTATACAATGAAGATCTGTGAAGTTATTTGGAATTTTACAAATTCTTTTTAAGACAGGGTCCTGAAAAGGGACATTTCTTTTTTTGCTGAGTTTATATAGGGGATTGGAAATAATGCAGACAATTACATTGATAGAACCCACAATCTGCAATATTAAAGCTAATACACCCCTAAAAAAATTAAAAAGGTCATTGGGCTGTAGTTATTGTGTGTTAACTTGTGGTCTCACTTTGCGCTCTCTCAGTATAAAGCAGGCACTCTGAAGAAGAACACCCCATGATTGACCACACACCGCCGATTACACTTCTCTTCACAGACCTGGGGGTTCTCACTCCTTCCGCAGTTAGTGACGAACTTATTAAGCTGTACTTGTAAACCACCACTAGAAGACAAACACCAAATGGATTAATTTAATTCAAATATGAACAAGTCACCTTTCAATACGCATATCACTTATATTAAACCCATAGTGAGTCAAGACATGATACAAGGATTTTATTATTACAGTCTTGGATTTAAGGAGAAACTCACAAAAAGCAGGTGTTTTATTTTGTGTGTGAACATTTACCCATAAGAAAATTGCAATTGGCTCAGGACAGCACGGCTGGCCCTTTGATATACACAAAGAGCTAATATTAATTAGGCTCAAAGTGGAGGAGAGATTGACTTCGTCACTACTTGTATTTGTGAGAGGTATTGACATGTTGAATGCACCAAGCTGTCTGTTTGAACTACTGGCACACAGCTCGGACACCCGTGCATACCCTACAAGACATGCCACCAGAGGTCTCTTTACAGTCCAAATCAAGAACTGACCATGGGAGGCGCACAGTACTATATAGAGCCACGACTACATGGAACTCTATTCCACATCAAATAACTCATGCCAGCAGTAAAATTAGATTTCAAAAACATAAAAATACACCTTATGGAACAGCGGGGACTGTGAAGTAACACAAACATAGACATGCATACAAACACAACATCTATGTACACATGTATTTTGTGTTATAGATATGTGGTAGTAGAGTAGAGGCCTGAGGGCACACACTTAATGTTGTGCAATCTGTTATGAATGTATAACTGCCTTAAATTTTGCTGGACCCCAGGAAGAGTAGCTGATGCCTTGGCAGCAGGTAATGGGGATCCATAATAAATACAAATAAGAGTATATAAAAAGTACTGTACTAGTCAATTACAAATTAAAAGCAATCAATCTCAAGAGGAGAAGGAGACATTTTATTATGAACAGGATTTGGGTCATAAGTTGTTCATCACCATGTTAACTTGACTCCTCAAAGTCTGTCTGAGCTCTGTATCGCAGAAGTTATTCACCCCGTTATGACCATTGTCACCGATTTACCCAGAATTACACAAACCTTGAACATAACTACCAATACAAACTAGAATAAAATCTGTACAAAATTGTCCTCATTTGATAAAAGTACAATACTAGTACAATATAAAAATGCTCAAGCAACTACTTCAAACTGGCAACAATAGCTCAGATCTCACACCAAGGCTTTTCTTGTACTGCATCTTACCCCAAAATGTAACATCAATCTTAAAATACATACAGTACGATTATATGCCATTACTTTGTACTTTCTCCCATTAAATATGCATACTGTGACTGATTGGCATGGTAGGTGTTAAAAAACGTAGTCGTACAACAAAATAAACTCCCTCAAAAACATCTAGAGCAAGCTGAACAGTTGTCTATTAACATCATTCCATGCCCAGTGTTGTATTTAATGTGTCCACAACTTACTCCTTCTCTAAGATGAGGACAAAAGCTCCTCCTGGCATCTGGAGTTTTAGGGCAGTGGGTTTGAATGCATAAATACTCAAACTCTTCTTGATCAAAATTGTATAATACCCTCTTCAGTGCTATTGATATCAAAGTCTGAGGAGTCAATGCAAAGACAGTTCTCCTCGAGAGGAAAAACATACATTGTACCATGGCCTGAAGTACGTGAAGAGGAAAACAGAGACATGAGATTGGACAAGGAAAAAGCTTTAGAGGTTGTTTGATTTCCTATTTTGAAGTATGGTGCGGCTAATGGTTCAAGTGAATGATGAATCACTTGAGTTAAAAAAAAAAAAAAAAAAAAAAAAAAAAAAAAAAGAGCCTTGTTTTACACAACTCTCCGCACTTCGAAAAATCTCTTCAGGTAGTAGATCTGTCCCAGGGTCATGGCTACCAACACAAGAGCTTCAAAGAAGGACCAAAGCACCACTCGGCTGTTTGTGTTGTCATTAACTAGAAAGAGGGGAGGAGGGGGGGGGGAACACAGGACAATACATCAAACCACTACTGCCACTGAACAACGCATTCACTAAGCTGTCAAAATTGGGTGTTCTTCACAAATGCTGTTTGGTTTTGTTCATACGTTATTCATTTTCTATGGAAATAGCACATTTTTGCTATGTTGTTGAAGAAGTAGCACAGAAGTGGTCTTACTTGCTCTGTGTATTCTCTCTCGGACCTCCATGTATTCCTGTTCGTGTTTTACTGCTGTCATGGCAACTGCTAGCTCATTAATCATCTCCTCCAGCTTGTTCTGGTGGGCTGTGAACAATAACAGTACACCAAATATTGCACATTCAAAGAAACCAAGAAGCACAGGCACAAACAAGTAAATCAGGTAAAACTCAAATCCAAGGTTTATTGTAGATGCTGTATAAAGGGATGTAAGGACTTTCAAGCAATACAAAGGAAATGTTTATACATCACACAATAAACACCATCAGTAACTGTCAGTAAACTGTGACATCATGTCTCTGCCAATATCTTGGGTATACCCATTGTGCAAAATTGTCCTTTTAACTAATCTTAACATGAACCTTACAAATACTTTCAGGTACATTTAAATAATTTAAGTCTGTCTTTTTTACTAGTGTCTTTTACATAAAATAACTACAGTAACAGAAAAGAGCACAGTTTGAGTTAATAGTGCTGTGCAAACTGCTGCATTGACTGGACACACGTGTACATGGATTGGATACCAGATTTGTTATTGAAACTGACCAACCAATAATTTTGAAAGATTGAGAAGGAAAAAAAATGTGTTGACCCAATTTGTTCACTTACTGCCCATAAGGCAGAGGCTGAGGGGGGCATACATTTCCTAAATCCATTCACCAGTCTCAAGTCATTGCTAGGCAACATTGAGTGTCCATAAAGCAAAACACACAAAACAGCACAACCCAGGCAATTAATCAAACTATGGAAACTGCACTATTTACATTCACTGTGTTTATTAAGCAATTCAGTATCTAGGTTAAGCAACACTACAGAAAATGAGGCCATTCGCGCCAAGAGCATTGAAGAACAACCCTCTCTGACCTCACGCAATAGTGTTAACCTACCGTCCCAAGTGTCTCCACCACCTGATGGAGGGGAGGAGAGGGGCAGGCAGAATGAGAAAAGGAGGAATGATGGAACAGAAGGAATATGAAGGAAAACAGCAGGAGAAAATGAAAGCAGCACACAGTGTTCCCCAGAACGTAAAAACATCTGATGGTGATATTATATTCCGAACATCAGTCAGTGTACCCATTGCTGCCTCGTCAACCTTAACCCCAGCCTACCTTCCGTCTCCATGCCGTCTCCCTTGGGGGCCTCTCCGATGTCAATGGTAAACATGACGATCTTGGGCGTCATGGTGGACATCTTATTGCTGAAGCAGAACTTGTATGTGCCATCCATATGGGCAGCCACAGAGTACTTTCCACTGGATTCTCTGTCTCCTTTATAAATCTGCTTCCCATCTGGACCCGTGATCTGCAAATGAAAAGTGCCTGCTTAGTAATTGATAATCTCCTGTTAAAGGGATAGTTCACCCAAATTACACATTGGGTGCCTTAACCTTGTAAGCAGTCTATGGACAAGGTATTTGAACAATCCATGCCTTGGTTTTATTTCCAAATGCTAACATTTTAGCACAAATCCCATTCAAGTCATGGTACCGATATTAGCATTTTTCGTGCATCGTGTCCAAACATCCGAAAGTATCTCAAATTGATTGTGAAGCTCAACAAAACCACTTATAGATGATTTGAACATGAACATCATGCACCCAAAATGCTAATACTGGCACCATATACTTCAATGGGGTGATAGCATTTGAATAGCATTTGTAAACAGTGCCAGGGAAACTAAACCAAAGTATGGATTGCCGTCATACCTTGACTGCTTACAGGGCAAGGAAACCAATATATAATTTGGGTGAACTATCCCATTACCGTTAGGAATACAGGTAACTTAGTTATGTTTTGACTGGACACCACCAGAGTTAAAGGTGCTACATTGTCAATCCAACATCTGCATTGGCCATGCAGCGTTTATGGCGATATGGCCTCTGCAGAAGTCGGGGCATTCATACTTCTTGCGCTTCGTGGAGCAGCGCAGAGCTGTTGTGAAGGAAGTTGTCAAAGAAGTGAGTTTGTGTTTATATAGGACCCCACCAATCATGTCAATGCACAGCCAAATGGAGCCCTCCGCATTGTTACACAATTTGGGACGCGCATGGCACGGAGCTCAATTAGGCCTCTGCATGCCCCGTCACACCCTCCATACTGAGCATTCGACCACATTTTCGGATCAAGCATAAATTGGCTCTTAGACAGCACGCTGCCCAAAACCACCATCAACACAAATATATGAATTATCAATAGCCCTAACATGAAGTCATGCTTTTGCTCATGATGTTATTTATTTAAATGATAATAACTATGAAACAGGATAGTAGCTACGTTGAAAGCTTGCCTACTACTAGCTAGTAATATATGGCACAATTTCAGTGACGTTTGCGAGGTGATGCTGCTAGCTAGGCAGGTTTACGTTAGTTGGCCAACTCGCAAAAAGTTAGCTACCAAAGATACTTAGCCACTATAATATCCAGAGATACTTTTCTAATATCTCTGACATAGCTAGCTAAGTTAAATAGCTATCTATTTACCCACCCAAGTTAGCTTATGTAGCAAGTTAGCCAGTCAGCTAACAATAAATTGTCAGTCTTCTGTCCCGCAAGATGTAGACTTCGCAAAGTTCATTATCTGCCAAGACAAGACTAACTGCTAGCATTATTTTTAGCCACACTCACTAACTCATATTGCTAGCTAGCAAACTAGTTGGACGAGTTTAATGGCTGGCTTGATAGTTAGCTTTGCTAACTAGCTAGCTAACTCAAATGCTCATATTTAGCAAGGCCCACATTTTTCAAACCTAGCTAACTTAGCTGCTGCAGGGCAAAGTGCGCAGGGACTGATTTCCCGCAATCAGATTTAGAAAGATGTTGGCCAACTTTCACAACTCAATAGGCTTACCTCCACATCGATGTCAAGGAAACCTCCTTCGGCCACCTCAAACATGAGGCCCATCTTGGTACCAGAGTTGACTCGTTCAAATAAACATTCTTCTGCATGAGCGTCTATGCTTACAAAGTAACCTGACACTGTGACGGAAAACATAGCTAAAATGACCATAAACTCCGAGAGAGTAAACATAACTGTTGTTGTTTTTCGCAACTATTTATGTGAAAAAGACGCAAAAGCGTACTAGTAGAGCGAGCTCTCGCAAGCCACTGACTTGAGGAGCTAACACTACTAGGGAACGCCGCCCCGTTCTTTATACCTCAGTGAACGCGTCTTACTTGCGGATGGTGCCACATAAAGACTGAAAAACGAGCCGCGTCGAGGTTCAAAAAGCACCACGGACAGCGCCACGATCAGCGCAAACTAAAACAAAAGACTGATTGCAAGTTCAGCACCACCGCCACAACTACAGCATAGCGTGCCCGGGTAGCTCATTTAAATATAACGAGAAGATTCAAGCACCTGTTGTGACAGTGGCAGGGTTGTTATGAGTCTACGGCTGTGGATGCATGAAGGGATGCTTTTGTTATTGTTTCCATTCCCCTTTTCCCCTGAACTTTAGAATTGTGAATTTATAGACTCAATTCCAGCTAATGGGGAGCAGCATGTTCCAGAATATACTGTAGGGTTGTTTCTAGAAGGCAAACGATCTATTTTGAATTGTAGCCTAGTGAATGTGTGGTGCAGATCAGGCTTGCATAAGATTGGAGTATTTTGAATCAGGACAGCCTGCGGAGGTCATTTGTGGCCTGTTGTCTGATTCATTTCAAAGAGCACCTTGCAAGTGACTTCCAACACTGTGCTTCTTATTTGAAATGTTTATTGAGTACATAATAATTTGAGTTTGCACACAGGGAAAGCCATCTTCTTAGAAACCTGGCTAAGAAACACGCTTACACCGGTCCTCTGTAGCTCAATTGGTAGAGAATGGCGCATTGTAACGCCAGGGTAGTGGGTTCGATCCCTGGGATCACCCATATGTAAAAATGTATGCACACATGACTGTAAGTCGCTTTGGATAAAAGCGTCTGCTAAATGGCATATTATTATTATTATGAACACATGACCAAAGCACTTTGAACTTTCTTCCCTATGAATACATGACCAAAGCATTATGATGGGAACTTTCTTCCCTATGAACACATGACCAAAGCATTATGATGGGAACTTTCTTCCCTTGGCGGACAAAAACCCATCACCATAATAACAGACGAACAAATGTTCTATACAATATCATACAACATAGCCTACTTCTGCTACTATCTGAAACCTGCTTAAGCCAGTTATATCCTTTATTATTATTAGGCAACAGATCCTGCAAAGCACATCACTCATTGGGACATTGAATACCTGTACGAGATGGAGCCATAGGTCATTTTTGACATATTCACTGTAGGCCTACAGTCTGGCAATTTTTGAACAACAATAGGCCTACACAAGTGCTTTTATAATAGTCATACTTTAATAGAACAACTCATCAAGTCCCCCTTTTTATTTGCAACCATGAAGTATGTTGTCCAGCCTGCTAAGAGCGAAGAACCTAACAGCACTGTGTAACTGAAGAGTACACATTTCAGAAGTTCTTTAAAGGTCCGAAAGAAGCAGATAGACATTGGCTCCATCTCGTACAGGTATTCAATCTCCAAATGAGTGATGTGCTTTGCAGGATCTGTCTGCTCTGCAATCCAAGGTCCTGAAAAGATTTCAAGGATTTTAATTTGTTCCCCCATTGGGTATACATTAGAGCCTACTAATTAATTTTAATTTTAATTAATTAGAGGGAAAAAAGTATTTGATCCCCTGCTGATTTTGTATGTTTGCCCACTGACAAAGAAATGATCAGTCTATAATTTTAATGGTAGGTTTATTTGAACAGTGAGAGACAGAATAACAACAAAAAAATCCAGAAAAACGCATGTCAAAAATGTTATACATTGATTTGCATTTTAATGAGGGAAATAAGTATTTGACCCCCTCTCAATCAGAAAGATTTCTGGCTCCCAGGTGTCTTTTATACAGGTAACGAGCTGAGATTAGGAGCACACTTTTAAAGGGAGTGCTCCTAATCTCAGTTTGTTACCTGTATAAAAGACACCTGTCCACAGAAGCAATCAATCAATCAGATTCCAAACTCTCCACCATGGCCAAGACCAAAGAGCTCTCCAAGGATGTCAGGGACAAGATTGTAGACCTACACAAGGCTGGAATGGGCTACAAGACCATCGCCAAGCAGCTTGGTGAGAAGGTGACAACAGTTGGTGCGATTATTCGCAAATGGAAGAAACACAAAAGAACTGTCAATATCCCTCGGCCTGGGGCTCCATGCAAGATCTTACCTCGTGGAGTTGCAATGATCATGAGAACGGTGAGGAATCAGCCCAGAACTACACGGGAGGATCTTGTCAATGATCTCAAGGTAGCTGGGACCATAGTCACCAAGAAAACAATTGGTAACACACTACGCCGTGAAGGACTGAAATCCTGCAGCGCCTGCAAGGTTCCCCTGCTCAAGAAAGCACAAATACAGGCCCATCTGAAGTTTGCCAATGAACATCTGAATGATTCAGAGGAGAACTGGGTGAAAGTGTTGTGGTCAGATGAGACCAAAATGGAGCTCTTTGGCATCAACTCAACTCGCCGTGTACCCCAAGAACACCATCCCCACCGTCAAACATGGAGGTGGAAACATTATGCTTTGGAGGTGTTTTTCTGCTAAGGGGACAGGACAACTTCACTGCATCAAAGGGACGATGGACGGGCCATGTACTGTCAAATCTTGGGTTAGAACCTCCTTCCCTCAGCCAGGGCATTGAAAATGAGTCGTGGATGGGTATTCCAGCATGACAATGACCCAAAACACACAGCCAAGGCAACAAAGGAGTGGCTCAAGAAGAAGCACATTAAGGTCCTGGAGTGGCCTAGCCAGTCTCCAGACCTTAATCCCATAGAATATATGTGGAGGGAGCTGAAGGTTCGAGTTGCCAAATGTCAGGCTCGAAACCTTAATGACTTGGAGAAGATCTGCAAAGAGGAGTGGGACAAAATCCCTCCTGAGATGTGTGCAAACCTGGTGGCCAACTACAAGAAACGTCTGACCTCTGTGATTGCCAACAAGGGTTCTGCCACCAAGTACTAAGTCATGTTTTGCAACGGGGTCAAATACTTATTTCCCTCATTAAAATGCAAATCAATTTATAACATTTTTGACATGCGTTTTTCTGGATTGTTTTGTTGTTATTCTGTATTTCACTGTTCAAATAAACCTACCATTAAAATTATAGACTGATCATGTCTTTGTCAGTGGGCAAAAGTACAAAATCAGCAGGGGATCAAATACTTTTTTCCCTCAATGTATATCAGCAACTAATATTTATGGCTAAAGACTGCATTAGTAAAACCATTACCTTATGCATAATTTATTTGTAAATTGCTCCAAATACTCTCACTCATCGCAAATGATCATACTTTTACTTCAGACACATACAAGTAGGCTACAAGAAGTAGTCTGTATATCTTATTGGTAATTTGAACTACTGAAATGTACCCCATGATATTTGAAGAATAAAGTAATGGCTTATAGCTTGTCAAAACCCCCAATAATTATTTGTAATGATACAAAATATTTTAGAGAACCAAGAAGGAGAAGAGATGCTGTTTGTAAACACTGAAGTGGCTGGTTCACCCACTCAGAAAGTAATTAAGCAACTTTGTCGATTGAAATTATCTCAAGGAATGTAATTCCTTTATAGATATCCCATCTATCATCCACATGCCTGTGCAAATTTGACAGTGCACAAATAACACAAATTCCCTGCACTTGTAGACGATACAACCTCGATCATATAGGCCTAGGAAAAGTTGTAGGCCTACAAAAGTCAAAATAATGTAATAGTAATCGAAGGGCTCTATTCAATCTGTATCACTGAAGCGTTACATTGCACAATATACATTTTAAGGTAATTTCCGACATATGCAGCGTTTACCTTGAATGCAGTCTCTGCTAACGCGTGAACACGTTTCGATCACGCTGTAACGCTGTACTTCCGCAATACGGATTAATAGAGCCCTAAAACGAAATATAGCAATAGCCTAAACACATTTCTTCAGAAGGAAATATTTAACGGATGGTGCACCAAAAACAGCAAAGTCCCATTTCTTTCTCAACTCAAGTATTTTTTGTTGTTGCTTTGATAACCTATATAATCTGTATTATTTTAAAATTGTTTACTAAACTATACAGTTCATGTTTTTTCAAGAATCCGAAAGCTTCTATTGGGGATTTATTATTCTCCTAAATTGATGGGATGACTAACTTAGAAAGAATGCATTCTGGACTGTGCTAATGTAGGTTGTGACACCTGGCAAGCTGTGATTGATGTGAAGAGCTGTTTTAGGGGGTAAAGGGAGATAAGGATTTGTGTCTCCAGATGCTGGAATATACTGGTTCTTTGTGATCTGTGAACCTTCCTTGGACGTAGGAATGGTGTCTAAGGGAGCTGGCTCTTCTCACTATGACAGGTTGTTATGATATGGACATATGCCTGGCAACAGAGGTGCATCAACGGATAGGCTGAGTAAGTCTAAACCACGCTCAAGTCTTTACTCTAATTGGCCAGCAGAGAAGTGGGAAACTCTCTCTGTCAGTGTATTTGAGTATTGAATCTAAAACAATGTTTTAGTTCTCTGGGGTGCCCTGCGAGGTATTTCAAAGAGCCCGTATATACGAAACATCATATTTACCATTGAAGGTTTTTGCATTAATTAAAATAACTAGTATATCTTAGAAGTCGTGTTGACCTCTTTTGTTCCTAATGCCAGATTTGAATTGACGCAACTTTGACAATTGGTGACACCCGACGTGATCTGGTAGAAAGGACTTCGCTGGATACTGTCCGGCCCATTGGTCATCTCTTTCATTGGACTGTGTTTCACAAAAAGTCCGGACAAACTTAAAGGTAAGCAGATACCTATTGTTAAATAACAAAAGATCTGCAAATTGGCTTTATTCAAATTAATTTTGTGAAACACCTGTCTGATGTAAGTGAACTAAATTATGAAACTATTATGAGTAGATAAGCACAATATTGTGACATGCAAACCTTTGGTAAATGTGATGTTAAACCATGGTACCAGAGAGTATTTTGTGCTACCGGCAAGGTCCGTGAGATACGGCTAGGTTCAGGAGACAATACTGACATCTACCGGCAAGGTCCGTAATTGCGACAATACGGCTAAGGTTCGGAGATATAGGGAATAATTGATTTAAGTAATTGCTATCGGCAAGGTTCGTAACTACGACAGTACGACTAAGGTTCGAAGAATTACACCGGCAAG